TCTGTTCATCAACATACACCAAGTTTGCCCCACGATCCGAAATACCTCGGAATGCGTTCGGTCTGCTCTGGCAGAGCTGCAACCGAGACCAACAACACGGTCAGCACCAGCATACGGAGATCTGTCATCGGGATTGTCATGATCGACTACTCCTTGGTTGCCTACGAACGCCAATCCCCACAATCTCTCTCTGTATATACATGTGCAATGCAACGCGAGGCGAGGCGAGCCGAGGCAAGGCGATGCAATGCAGCCCGTACCCACGGGATTACCGGATACGCATTTGCAACCACCGGGCCTGGTTCCTGTTCGGGTGTGCTTGCCTGTCATTGAGAACATGAAACTGCTTTGTGAATCACCCACATGGATAACGTGGGATTTTCCTGACACGCCACATAATACCCGGATGTTCCACTTGGAGTTGCCATGCTCGTATCCGCACGCCCGGTTTTGAAAATCAGCCTCCAATCTGAATTGCTGTGAATATTCGTACTGCGTTCCATGGACTTATCGAGGCCTGATATCTTCGAATTTCCTTATGGACCCAGATAATCTAACCAGATGTGATATTGACTGCCAGGTTTGTTGTGTAGTATTTACAAGGAAACCAGCAATGAAAATCAGGAGTTATATGATAAAACCTGGTCCCGAGTGCAGTTGTAACCGCCCGGAAAACTGCGTGTAGTTCCACGATTTAGTGTTTCCTTGTCATTGTACCTTCAGCGATTTTGAGCAATTCTAGATCATACTGATAACTCTATGGACATCCTGATGTTTTATTCATGATATCGTTTTACAAGTGAAGTCAATCTAGAGGGAAAGACAAAGGGCACTGCAGATCTATTTTATCCTTATCGGGAATCACCATCAGTGTTGCGCACCTCCCTCATATTCCGGGGTTTATCGAATCCATGCTAGCAATCGACCTAGCAATCAGATCATTTCACCGCCCGACCTTAGGCGGACTATCTGTGGAGTGAATTACTTGCAGTGGGACGGAGAAAACTGTCCTTCATCCTTCAATCACGGAATCCACATCACGTGATTACGTTTTGGCTGGCTCCTCGAATGACAATGGCTGATGGGTTCCCACCCATCAGGCGAGTTATTCCCCATCTGACCTACATGTGGAGTGAAGATAATGTGAATAGACTTGGGACAACTCCAAGTGGAACATCCGGGTATTATGTGGGGTGTCAGGAAAATCCCACGTTATCCATGTGGGTGATTCACAAAGCAGTTTCATGTTCTCAATGACAGGCAAGCACACCCGCAGCAGCTAGGCTTCTTAGAATAGACTGGCTTATGTTCACCGAAAACTCCTGTATCTACTCCCACTACCGATAATCAAATGGACAGGTTAATGTCAAGTGATTCGGAAGTGGAAATGTTTGAAATTGTTCGCGTGATCAAAACTAGCATTGGCTGTCGTATCGAATTAGATACGATTAGAAAGCTCAGATGCATACTCAGCAGGCGCAGGATGGAACCAACCGCATGTACGATGCCGCTTTCAACTACGCAAGCGATGTTCTGAATGATTCATTGTTCTCGGTATCGGTCAAGCCCGCTTTACTACCTCATACTTGGTTTTCTCAATGAAACGCATGATGCTCCCATACGGTTGGCGTCCATCTTTCAGACGCTGACAGTGGTCGAAATATGCTCCTCCGAATGAAATGTGCGAAATAAACCAGAGATGTCCAGTCTGGCGTACTCACTTGGTAAGGACCAGCACTTCTGATGAATGGTGCGAGCTGTGTCTGGTTAAAGTGCTTCAAAGCACCATCACGATGTTTGATGGAAGGTTGATTTGTGCAAACTTTGAACCATTTGACAGCGTTTGTTCCTTAATTTTAAATATTCAATTCAGGTCCACGGAAGCTTAGTAGGACACATGAAGATATTGAATATCGGGACAAAAATTAACGAATATTAATTTCTCCACGATCTATACATCGGACCGGTAAAGATGAGGGAATCAGCAAATAGAGGCGAGGCATCCATACGAGCCAAGTGATGTTAACATGCAGTTTGCGGGAACAAGTGCACAAAATGCTAACGTCACCATCTATCGGCCTGATTGGACAGCAGTCACGTGAACAGATCACGGAAGACTGGATGCGGAAGACTAGAAGCTTTCTGAATGCACAGACCCCTGAGCAAATTGTGGTGGCCTCAGCTTTCTCCAGATAGTTATTGTTAGTGAATTTGTCTTGGCAGACAGAAAGCCACATGGTACTGTGTTTGAAAAGCATCGCTAGAATCCGCCACATGACTGGAATCAGCCAGGTGAGCTACAACTGCGCTAGTAATCGACCTCCATGAGTCGGGTTTCAGCCCAAATGCCTCATAACTAATTATTCTCTTGCGTAACTATCGTGTCATGCAACTTATGCATCTTGACAAATAGCGGCAGAAGAAGTAATTATCTATCATGCTTTACACGTGAACCGGCAATGTGGCTTCTCAAAATAGATTCGCCGGATGAATGGTCGTCAAATTCCGATATGAATGATGTGGACGCCGAGTTAGATGAGCTCCGTGCAGATTCATCGTGAAACGAAGATAGATGAAGATGGATTTCTATTGACTGTGACCAGTACTGTGACGAGTTTCTTCTCCGGAGTTGTAGCATAGGCATGTTTTGAGTTGCTCAGATAATCGCGTTGGTGGGACATACTATCAGGCGACTGGTAGGGGATTAAATTTTTCTTCCAGATCCGATGTCTCCTTCCCTGTCAGCAAAAACCGAGCACATTTTCACCCGTAATTCAGTAAGAAAAGGTAAATGAATTCGGTGGATACCAAGAAATAAAAACCGGTGTGATTTTCCCCTTAGAACATAAACCGAATATCCTGGTTTTTAACTAACATTTGTTAAGCAACCAAAGGTTCATAGAACTCATAGAACTTAGCCGAATATTCACCGCAACTCAGATTGGTGGCCGATTTTACAGACCGGGCCAGCGGATACGAGCTTGGCAACGTCAAGTGGTGTCCGGAAAATCCCACGTTATCCATGTGGGTGA